GCTTCCATGGACCTCAACGCCCCAGCACAGCATACACGATCCGATACTGTTCAGCTACTGGACGCTGTGACACGTCGTCTTGCGCGTCCAGCTTTCCTCTCCAGCATCACGCCGTCGAGGCTGCCATCGCAGGCTGCAAGCGATGCGTCTTTGAGCCCCACACGCGACGAAGCACGGTTCCACTCTGGTCCGCTAAACAGCCATCGTCACTATCTCGCAGGAACAGTCAGAGATGCCCTTGAACAAGCCGACCTCGTAGCCCCACTGATTCAGGAGCCTTGTGCTGACGGTAGCTCACCAAGCGTTGACAGACGCATCCTTCAGAATCTGGAACAGGGCTTCATTGGAGCGCGTCGCGCGTACGCAAAGATGGCTTCAGAACGCAACTTTACCACCTTCTCCCACGGCCACCAGGACCTTGTGCTTGCTGTTGACTTCAATTACTTCGGAACTCGCATGGTGACTGCGAGCTCAGATCATCGCTTAAAAGTATGGGATAAGAAAGATGATTCTTGGTCTCTTGTCGAGAGTTGGAAAGCACACGATGCTGAGATCACCGATGTAAGTCCTTCTGGTACAGGTTCTCAGATCCCTAGACACAAGACTATCACGCTTAAGCCACAGTATTAACATTGTGCAGGCCAAGTGGAATGGCCCTTTTATGGGCGAGGTTGTAGGAAGCATCGGCGAAGACGGCCGTTGCAAGCTTTGGCAAGAGGATGCTACTGAAGTGCCTCTGTCTGGCAACCGTTTTAAGCTCATTGCGAACCTGGTCTCGACCGGCCATGCTCCATTCATGTCTCTTGACTTCAAGAACATAATGCAAGAGACTTGGCTGGCGTTGATCACTCGCGATGGTCGTTTGACTGTCTACGAGCCGTCTGATCAGAGCAGCTTGAACGAGTGGACCATTCTAGCAGAGCGCTCTGTCTCCGAAGATAACCCTCCAGATCGCCAAGATGAGGTCGGCTTCAAGGTAGTGTTTCACAAGGAGAAATTGCCGTGCTGGACCGCAATCATGGCTGGCTTGGATCGCAAGTCGCTTTCGCTTGCTGTGGCAGCGATGAAGGATGTCCTTATCTTCAGGACCGACAAAGCCAAGCGCTTTTTTCAGGTGGCGAAGCTGGAAGGCGCTCGACAAATCATTCGTGACCTAGCCTGGGCCAATGGATCGATGCGGGGCCACGATATACTTGCAACAGCAAGCAAAGACGGTGTCATTCGTATCTACGAACTATCAACACCTAGTTCGGGCAAAAGTGCAACTGCTGGGCCATCGGTAGCTGCCGCAACTTTTACGCCTGCCGATCCTCCTCGCACAGACCCACGTAAGAACGCGCCTTCCGGCATAGGAGCCGGATTGGCTGGTGCGCAAAAAGGTTCCGAGATGCCACGCGAGAGCGAGCAATACCCAGGACGGATATCACAGCTGGCAAAACTCACGGACGAGCTTACAGACCACCATGGAGCGGTTTGGCGAGTAGCATTTTCGCAAATGGGTATGTGCTAGTCTGCTCCCTCGTGGACATCTTCTAATCCCTATACAGGTGATCTGCTCGTCTCTACCGGTGACGACGCTTCGATTCGCACATGGAAGAAAGCTGTGAATGGACGTTGGGCAGAGTATGCAGAGATCGAAACCGCGCGCGAGAATTGACATCCTTCCACGCAGAAACTGCAACGGATGATGAGAGGAGACTCCATAGAGGGGCAAGCATGCACCCAGCCAGAACCTCTCGCAGGTGTCACGTTATGGCAGGTATTTTGGACGTTATGGGCATAGCGATAGTGGTCTATACGTCACTACTGATGGATTTACGAACTTATGATATATGCAGGTCTCGTTTTCATCTATTGATATGTGGTCGTCATTGCGTGGTGTTCGTGAACGTTCGCGCATCTGGCGTCACCATACATTCCTCGCTTCAGCCTCCTCAACGCCAGCCACGACACATTCCGTTCCGGCCTTTGGAAGCCTCTGACCTCACACGATCATCTACAAGTTGCTCAGAGCCCCAGAAAACATGTCGAATCCGTCTCCTGTTCGATACTTTGGTGCACACTCGCTGGAGCTATCTACTGGCTTACGGAAGTTGCAGCGTTGCAGCAAACCTGCATTTGCCTTCAATCTCACTCCACTACACGCGAGGAGATTACGATGATTTTCCAGCGACGCTTCCACTCCCACACTACCACGACAGTTGACTCGCCTCCAAAGCCTCCTCCAAAAGATGACGCTTCTCCACCAAAGACGCTTGAGGAGATCCTTGCAATAGTAGTGAGCCCCCGTGCTCCGAAACCTCCCCCTCATGCAGTCGGTACGGTTGCCAGCAATCCTCCAATCAGCAGACAGAATCAAAGTCGATCGATATCGAGCCCAGTGAAAAGCAACATACCGAGGCGAGCACCCAGTAGCAGAAAGACAGGGCATGCTACTATACATACGGATGCTATAGATGGCCATGATGCGTTCGAGAGCGACGCATTTGCTGTCCATATGCCGACGACGCGAGTACCCATCATGGACGCTCCGGTATCTCGACCCAGACCAGCCAGGCCGAACAAGGCTCAGGTAGAGGCTGTTCAGACGTATAAAGAGAAAGCTAGGCAAGCACGGGATCGGAATAACAGCATAGGTGTGCGTGTTCCGCCCAACATTGCCTCATACGACTACGCCTACGCCACCTCTCCTAAAGGTGATGCTTCAATACCGGCTGTGTTGAAGCCATCCTCCAGCCCTCCGGCTCCAGCAGGCGCATTTCCTGTCAGCCCGCCTGCGCAACAAGAAAGATGGACTCGAGATGAACCAAAGCCTGAGCCGTTTGTGAAGACCAGCAAAGTCTCCAGCAACACGTCGGTGTACCGTAAACCCAGTGTGCTCGGGGTCACAACTGCAGCGGCTGTTATCAAAGAAAGTGTACAGCATGTGCGCGCCGATGCGAACGGAGGTGCCTCGAGGCCAACATCGCCACCAAAATCAACAACGGTCAAGATCAACATGAAGCCCAAGATTCCGACGATCAAGGTCGAGACCTGCAAATTCGAGACCTGCCAAAGTGGAAGTTGTGAAGTCGAACACTGTCGCGGCATATACTATCGGCCACCTCATCTTGAACCGATAGCCGCTCCTCGCTCTCCAAGCCCTACCAAGACTATGCCAAACTTCACACGCCAATACTCAATCGAAGGCGATTCGATTTTTGGCTACAAGGTCAAAGATCCTATGGGAACATCAGCTGGCGCAAACAACTCCAGCTCCAGCGAGGACGAGAGACCACAAGCGACACTGCAAAAAACACAGGGTCCCTCCAAGCAGCCAGCGCCGAAGCGAACGCTCACGGATCGTTGGCCGTGGATACGAAAGGGTGCAGGTGGTGCAATAGGCAAACCACCCAGCGCTCCAGCGCCAGACCCACCTGCAAGAGCACCAACCTCCAAGCGTCCCACGTCGACCTATGTATCGCCTTTTGACTCGGTCACTGCGCCTCCGAGTACGCCTCCACCCATACGACCCACACCACTCAGACCGGCGGCCATAGCAGCAGCGAAAGCAACAAGAACAGCACCAGCAATAACCCCAATAACATCACCCAAAAAGCCAGCAGTCGCTTCCCGCCTTGCACCCACCTCATCCCAAACTGCATCTCCCACCCCAACAAACTTCGACACAGACTTCGCGCAACTGAAAGCCTTCTTCCTGCTCACCCTTAAGATCTGCCTCGGATTGTACGCCATCGTCGCGCTATGGTTCATTCTCGACGCGATCAGAGAGGCGTTGTGCGTGGTGTCTGTTCCGTTTCGACTTCTGGGACACATTGTCGGTTTTGTGTGGGCGGCTGTTAGCTTCTTGGGTAGGAATTTGGGGGCCGTGGCTGGTGGGTTGGGGGGAAGGATTAGGGTGCTAGGAAGATGAGAAGGAGAGATGTTTCTTGGTCGCGACGGGTCATGTTGAGAGGTTTGTGAAATATACGATGCGATATGGGTGGAGTGTAGGAGTACTTTGGAAGCGTGGTGCAAGTTTGTATATGTAAGGCGAGATAGGTGTTGGTTAAGGAGGAACAGGGGATGAATCAATACGCCTTAAAAGACTGTCGATTACTTCGGGGCGCATGATGTATTGTTCGTGAGTAGGGTATGTGTGTTCACTGTTTGAACACAAACCAATGCTTCGGAAAATCGTCTTGGACCCAACAAGGCACATACGATTTCTGGCTAGTCGTAGAGGCGTTCCCAAGTGTCTGTTTCCCATTCGTATGTCAGAGAAAGCTGACTCCATCTTGTTAGGACCCATGATATATGCAAAGTATGGGTGCGGCTTACGTCTCAGGGGCGCGTCTGTGACAATGGAGATATAAATTTATTATTCTCAACTTTTCCCATCAGTCAAATCAGACAACAAGCGCGTTCTTCACAGACGCACAACTCCGCTTGGTGTAGTTGGTTTATCACGTTCGACTGTAATAGCAACATTGTTATCGAAAGGTCCCTAGTTCGATTCTGGGAGCGGAGATATTTTTTTGCTTCTAAAGAGCCTTGGTAGCGTGAAAAGTTAGGTCTGGTAAAGTGTACATGCGGTTGCATGTCTGTTCAGTGCTTATGGCCTATCGTGCATGAGCTCCGTTCCAGTTGAAATCGAAAAGCCTCAATTCAATCCGCTGGTTTTTTGGCAAGTGTTGACATCCCACCCCGGCACGCCTGGCTCTGGCTGCACGTGCGCTTTGAAAATGTGCGCTTGAGTCGTACCCCGGTTCAGGTCGTCGTTCTGGCTGGGCAATGTGGGGTGGCGGGGTTGTAGCACGGCTGCATGTCCGCATTGAGTGTTGAATAGCTGGGTAATGTGCATCACGGTCCACAGGACAAATTACGAGTCGCAACTGCAGATTTGATGCATTGTGTGATGAGATTAGCTTTGGCTGTGCAGCACGGTGATGCGAGACAACGCCGGATTTATAAAGCAGCACGGCTCCAAAAACTTCATCGAAGAACTGAACTGCTCAACCGGCCCGATGGCGCAATGGTAGCGCGTCAGATTCCAGTAAAGGTGTCTCCTGAAGGTTAGGCGTTCAAATCGCCTTCGGGTCAGTTCTCTTTTTGCGGTTGTTTCCAACTGGCAGCTTCTTTTTGCTGGAGCTGACCCGGCTCCTTGTCTGATGACTGTAGGGACGCTGCGTGCAGTTTCCCCTCACATCATGCGTCACGCGCATTGTTTTTTCCACTTTGATCGAGTGGTATACTATCCAAAAGAGCCAAACACGACAGCCTTGCCAGTCGAGTTGTCTTCCTGTACCATTGACTTCTCGAGCATGAGCAGGAGATGCGATGTGCGTATCAGAAGCTCTGTCACTCATATTAGCGGACATGTCATACGAGCGGAACGAAGCTGCAACCTACCATCGTATTCGATATCGTAGCTGACTGGCATATCTTCGTCGTTCTTGATAAGAATCGGAGCGTCTCTGCGCAACTTCCTTTCCTTTACGTTGAAACGTATTCCTGTGTTCTTCGCTGGGCTGACCCACAGTATGCGTTGATCATCAGGGTCGAACTTCTCCTCTGCAACCTCACGCACAACTTCTTTGCCCCTTCCCACCTCTTCTACAATCTCTCGTTGTATATCAGCACTAGGCGTGCTACCTCTGGCCGCGGTCTTGCTGAGCCATTCTCTCCAAACCCTCAAGACACCCTCTTCGACATCAACGAAGGCGCTGAAGAGGCCGTTGTAAGGTCCAATCTTGACCAAATTCGTTTGCGCCACCAGCTGTGTAAAAAGCTCATGTGCCTCTAGACTGACGGTCTGCCTCACAAGCTCACCCTTGTATTTATCTTGAGCCGTACCAGGGTATGTGCGGCTTCCAGGTATATCGCCAGGTCGACGGACGACTCTGCGCCCTCCGTCCTCAAGCTCTCGTCGATGTGGTCGAAACCGAGAATACATCTCGCGCATCTCTCCTAGTCTGGCACTGATGGCGCGATCAGGCCCGGCAAAGTTTTCGTATAGCGATAGGCCATCGGTGCCTTGGTATGCGCAGAAGTAGGGAGGTTCTGTAAGCTTTGCAGAGGGATGATAACACTCAAGCAGCAGTGAATGCGACTTGAGTTCGGCCGCTGCAACCAAACGGTTGTGCAATATTCGGAGGACGACGTTGTAGATACGACGGGAGATGATGGTCAGAGGGAGCAGCTCAGGCGTCGGTATTGGCACAAGCAAATGCAAAAGCAGCTGTGTAACACTATTGTTGGCAGGCGCAAGGGAAAAGTTGGGCGATGTAACATACCTCATTGGGAAGCTTATAAAGGTGGCACTGGGCCATATCTAAGGCCAGATAATGTTAATAAGCCAAAGTTTGGGATCCAACGTGCAGGTTGGTATTTTATGTCAAGCATGGATGAATGGAAGCCAACGGAGATAACACATCGTCATCGCCCGCGACTTCTGAATGACGCCGAGGCGATTCCGCATCCGGTTAATGCCAAACAACAAACGCGCCTTGCCTGTCTGAGCTTCACCTCACCTTTCATCCCTCACCTCTTGACACCAAGACGCGTGACGCCAACATTAATTCGTCGTTCCGAAAACTACATCGCGCGTCAAAGTGCATGCGCTATGGCCCCATTGGAGAACTTTGTCAAAAATCGCAATGGCCAAGCGGGCACTTCCCCAAATGGGCTGGGACCGGTCAACCCTTCGCGACAAGCTGCTGCAGCGAACGCGAGGGTTCAAGTAGTAAGGCCCGGTGTCTCTCGGACGCCTGTAGCTCAACATGGGCTTCCGCTTCGTGGTGAGAGCGTCAATCAACAACAATCTTTATCGTTGCCACAGCACTTGCAGCGACGGCCACTAGGCGAAGGTCGAAAACGCGATAATTATGATACTGATACCGAGAGCCTCAACTCCACAGCCAACCAATCGGTCATACAAGTCGAAAACAGCCCGCACGGTGACCAAAAGCAACTGCAGCCTGAGAATGAGGGCGCGGAGACTGATGACGAAGGTGAAGCTTCTAGTGAATATGAGTACGACGGGGAGGAGGAGGAGGAGGAGGAGGCGGAGTATCACTTCGACCAAGAGGCAAAGGACTACCTTGAGCGTAATGGCAAGGGCAACGCCAGTTACGGCGAGCAATTACATTTCATGCAGAGAACTCAGCCTCAGCTTTTCCCCACAGTCGACGGTGATTCATACCCTACAACAACAGACGGCAATCTTACGGAACTGGTAGAGAGTGCGGAGGCACATATCGAAGATCTTGGCTCGCCTTCGCCTTCTCCTCAGCGCGGTCTGCAACATGCCCAAAGTGCTGTGCTCTCCAATCAGCAGCCCCTACAGCAAGGCCGATTTCCCAGCCCACTGCACGCCAATCTTGCCGGGCTTCACGAATCCAAGATTTACCAAAAGGGTGAGCAGATTCGTGGGCAACAACGCACTGACGGAGCTCGCGGACAACAAGGCCAGCAGCACGATGCAATCCATCCACCAACAAGCCAATTACCCTCGTACAGCCAGGCAAATCGCGAGCAAGGCTTTCCTGCAGCTACTCACGCTCGTCGGGAGGTCACAATACAGGCTGGTCAGGCTGGGTTTTTTCAAGAAGCTCCAAACCTGCCGTCGGCACCAGAACTTTTTCGGAACCCTCTACCAAAGATGACTGAACCTACCGCTTTCTCAAAACATATTTCAACGACACGCGCCAACGCAATACCTACTATCCAACAGTATACCGAACCTACTCCAGTGGAAGAGCCACTGGGCTCTCCAGACGTCGATTACAAGTCTGAGGTTCTCTTCGAGCTGGACTACGAGCACTTAGCACACGAAAGTTTCGACAAAGATCCGCGTGCGAGTGAGCCGTTCCTATCTGAAGATATGCTTGAGAAGTCATTGGTTGAGCGTTTGCAATTTGTGCACCGCAAACTTGACCCTGCGGCACAAGCTAAGTTCTTCGGTGCGCTTCCGACGAACGAGTGGGAGGATGCCGGTGACTGGTTCCTGGATCAGTTCAGCGAACTCATCAAGAAGACAAAAGATGCACGACAGAAGAAACGAAAGGCTGCCCAAGAGTTTGAGCAGGAGATTGAGAAGCGTCACACGCATGTTGCAAAGAAGCAAAAACTTGTGGAAGGTGCAATGATCAAGATGAAGACGCAAGGAGAGGGACTCGTACCGAAGAGTCCGAGGGCATCTAAAAGTCCTCGACCAAGGAGAGCTTGAGGCAGACGTTTGATCTTCGACACATCCGATATCAGAAAGCGGACAACATGGCAATTTTCCATGCGAATTAGCGCGCTTAGCAGAGTGGCCAATGTACTACCAATGTTGCTAGGCAGCATTTGTTCTATACCCATATGTTTGAACCTAGGTTGTCAAGATTCGTAATCATACTCAATAGGATCTGCTGAGCTCTTACCTCTCAAATGCACCACATTCAGTGCGGCGCATGCTTCCTCGGAGGCTTGGTTACAGAAGTCGGCGTGCGTGAACAACTTCTGCGAAAGGGCGAGTTAGATACACTCGAAGCACAAGCATCCACCCTAAAGTACAAGCATAAAAAAAGCTGGTCGTTGTGGTATGCACATGGCTGGTCAGATGTCAAAGTCTGCGAAATGGTGTGCTTCACTAGGTCTGCACCACTTCGGTGGCATTGACATCGTTGCACGCAAGCACCGAGTTGTTCAAGGGAACGCCCTTGTCAAATGATTTCTGGTGAGACACATATAATATAGAGCTGAGTACTACGTTTAATGACTAATCATTCACTGGTGAAAAGAAATAGGATTGACACATCACCACGCCAACCTCATCATCCCTCATTTCAGTCAGATTCTTCACTCCTCCAACCGCCCACTCAACCCTCCCGCTTCTTCAAACTTGGCTTTGGGCGCCGCCGAAGCCCACACTTCGACCTCATACTCGTTTCCGTAGGCCCTGTAGCTCTGGGCACCAGCAATGATAGATCCGCAGGCGCATCAGGTTCTCTCGACACCTCAGCGAAAGCGGTGTCAGAGTCGAAAGATTCTGGGTCTTCGAACGACCCCGCTTGGATGGTGAGTCGTGGAACGAGTTTGGGCAGGCTGACGAGTCGCTGTAGCATGCTTGGTTCGTAGGCGGTCATGATGCGGAGGCGGATCTCACCGTTTCTGAGCTCGGAGTCGGGTATTGCACGGAGGTGTTGGGCTGTTGCGAAGTCGAAGATGGTGGTGTCGTTTATCCAGATGGTGCTGAAGTTTTCGTCTTGCTCGTGCAGGAATGTTTTCTTGAACTTCATGTGCAACAAAGCACGGTACGTGATGAGGTTTACGCTGTCTTTCTGTACCTCTACCTTTGACCTTAGCTCGGGGCTTGCTTGGTACCAGAGTGTAAAATCCAATGCGTCCATGTGGGCGAAGTCCGGGAGATTGGTTGCGTTGTTGGGCCAGTCTTGCTCGGTGCTGTCCCAAGGGAGGAAGAGGGATGTGTCTTCGAGATTGAGGATGTATGACTCCCGACCGACGTAGATCTCTGTTGTAGGGTTTTTGACTGTTGCATCGCTCTCGAAAGATGAGCTGATTTCAGGGTCGGGAGGAGGCTCGTCGGCAACCGTTTCGTTGTCAGAGCCGTCTGTATGGACGTCATTTGAATCAGTCCTTGTCCCCGCTCCACTTTCAACGGACAGATGGCTTGTCTTAGGCTTCTTCAAAGCGCTAGTTTCATTCTCAGTATCACGATCTTCAGACCGACGACGGTGCTTTCTGCTGCTGTCTGAAATTGAATCACTTGACCTAGAAAAAGCTCCAGAGAGAGAGGACGTGGATGAATTGGAGGAACCCCCAGACTCATCAGAATCCGGAGCATCAGAAAACCCAGAAGATTCAGACGACTCAGATCCACTGCCATCATCTCCGCCGCCAGCTGCACATGAAGACCCAGTGCTAGGTAGACTCGGTGCAAATTCCGTGTAAGCCTCGGAAAATCTATAGCCATCGTTGTGCGCTTTAGAGGCATGAGGCGTTGAGACTGCGAGAGTCGGAAACCTCAAGCTCATAAGGAGGCCAGCTGAAGCCTGGATGGTCTTTACAGCATCTTCGAGAGCTTGCATGGAGCGCAG